CCCCCCCCGCCCGCGCTTGGACCGCGGCTTCCAGGAAGCTATGGCGCAAGCAAGTCATGCGCATGGGCGCTTGTCGTTTGTTGTAAAGCAGGCAAGCAGACGCGCTGGAAAACTGCAAGACGTGAATGGTGAAGGCTTATGTTGAAGGCTTATATGTTGGACTGCTGCTTGCTGCTGAAGCCTCCCGCCGGCAGGCTATGTCGCAGCACATTGGGCACGGCACCGCACTCTGTTGTCGCGCCGTAGACATCTTGGTTGTAGCAGGCATTGGAAAACTGCTAGATGTCCATGCTGAGAAGGAAGCTCGACTTGTGAGATGCGGTGAGCCTGCTTGCGGCTTCGGGGGAGAGGCGCTGTGCCCTCCCCAAAGCAGCGCTCGCATCAGCTCTTGCATACGGCGACGGAAAGAAGCTGTCGCAGAAAACACCGGTCAAACAAGCTGTCGCAGAAAACACCGGTCAACCGTTGCAAAAAACACCGGGCAACCGTCGCAAAAAACACCGGGTGGCGGTCACTGACGCAAAAAACACCGGTCACAGCTTGGAAAAACACCATACAACATAACTGTCTGGAAATACCCTGATTACTGTTGCAATTTACCCTAGTCCCAATTCAATTGCTTCGCTTGGCCCCGAAGGCGCTGACGGTGACCTCAGTGGAGATAGTATAGGAGTAGCTGGATTGGGTTGGCCTGCTGGCAATGATGTAGATGGGAATGCTTTCACCTTTTCAAGTGTCTTCTGCTTCTTACTTGGTGTTTCTTCTCCACTTGGCTTTCTAGTTTCATTTCCATCTCTTTTCATTGCTTCTCCCGGAATTTCCAGCGGGGCTGGAAACGGTATTGGTTCCGGGAAGGGCTGGCTTGGGTGTCCACAGTGAGAGTGTGGGTGGAGTGTTGGGTCTGCCGTTCCTGGACAAGGGAGTGGACTGCATCGATCAAACGGTGTTGGGGGACAGGATTGAAGAAGATTGGTGGCGCGGAGGGTAATGTCGGCAGGAGTGTGGGAGAGATATGCGTGGAAGTGGTGCCATAGTTGTGGGATGGAAAGCTGGCCCGGATGCTGAGGGAAAAGGCGTTGGAGGATGATGTCAAGGGCTCTGCTAGTGATGCGGAGGAGGTTGCCTGCAAGTGAGACAACGCCGTAGGGGATTGCGAAGTCTTTTCGGAACCCCCACTTGTAACGGGATCGAAGGGTAGTGGGGACCGTAGCAGTGATGTGGTCCTGGGTGTGGTGTAGGTCAGGTGGGGCAGTGGTTGGAAAAGTTCGGGCGCTTGCCAGGTGTTGAGAGCTCCCTTAAAGTATTGTTGTGGGCAGAAAACGCGGAGCTGCTGAAGCTCATGATCTGCATGGTGAAGAACGACCTTGGCACCGAGGAATTGTTGAAGCTGACGAAGGAGCCTGGCAGTAAAACGTGGCTGTTGTTTGAGGTGAGCGACACGAAGACGCCATTGGTGTTGGAGGAAAGGCTCGATATGCTGATCAAGGGATGGTGGAAATCCTGGGGCGCGGAGCCATTTCCGAAAGGCTGTTTGGAAGGCGATGAAGTAGCGAGCTTTGGTTGGGTAGAAAGCGCTGCTCATATTGGCATCAAGGAAAACGCGCTTTTGCCATGACAGCTTGCGCGTCTTCATCTCTGAACTTCAACATCACACGCTCTCGAGGAATGTCTGTCTACGCTACTGGCAACGCTTCTGCTCTTCTCTTTGTGGCAATGATTCTGCTTCCCAAGTTTGTCTGGTACTCCCATGAGTAGGCATTGGAGCTTTTGTAAGTTGCCAGGTACTTGGACCAATTTTGATCTGTTCCCCTGGTGCGATTGCTCTAAATTACTTGCGCGCCATCTGTCAAGACATGGGTATCTTGCCTCTCCACTTTTCCCTAGAATAAGCACATAGACGCCATCGTGCTTCTCCTTTGTTAAGACCTCTGATGTAACCATGAACTGGTTCACCATACTCAGCTAAAAGTCCTTTGCAACTCTTGCCATAGACGAGCTCATATGGAGCGGCACCCTTTGACTGGTTGAAACCGATTCAGCACCCAACTGGCATGTCTTGCTGCCCAAATCCAAAGTGCATGATCTGATCGAGCATTGATCAGCATCTTGAGGGTCTATCTTGTCGCGGGTTCGTTGTCCCTCCTGTAGGTGATTGCTGAATACCCAAACAACTGGCTGAAATTCATCAACTAACTCTTGCACAATGAGACGACATTTGTTCTTGCTTCCTAATGGCACAAAATGAACGTGGACATCGATTGCATCTAGCCAACATACTGCTCTTGCTGACTTTGTTTCTGAATCTCTGGCTCTAGTGTAGCAAAAGTCAAAGCTCACCGCAGGGACGCTTCCTCTCTTTGTTCCATCTGTTCTCACACGGCGATCTGGACGCGCTCGGTGCTCAATGCACTCCTTACACCAGTTGGCATTTGGTAGACGCGTCAATCTGTGTCTCGCCTGAGTGGCTTCATCTGGCATCTTAGCTACACTTTGCCCTAATGCCTCCCTTGTCTCTTGAGCTATTGCTTCACTCACCAAGCTTTTGGCGTTCAAAAGTTCCATCTTCTTGTTGCGATTGAGCGTCCTTGCGTAGACCTTCAACTTGGAGCCGCTACCTGAGACGCCGAGAAATGAGCATGCTGCCCTGATTCACCAAGGTTTTTTCTACGTCCATTGGGCTCGATTGCAACTCACACTCTAAGTCTTCGATCCTCGTTCTCGTCCTCTCCTTGTCTTCTACCGCCTTCTCGGGTGGAGTACGGGTAATCTCCTCGCTTGCCTTCTCCACCTCCTTGTTTCTCTCATCCCTGTTTTCAAGCTTCTTGTAAGCCGGTGCAGAGAATCCCATATTTTCTGGCGGTGCTGGCTCGTAGCTGAAGATTGCGATTGAAGGAATGACTGCATCATCATCAAAGAATTGCTCGTCAAGTTCCTCTTTCGTTTTCACAATATTCAGGCGTTAGCCATCAACCTCCTCTTTTCACCAAAGCGGTTCTCATGAGCTCTGGTGAATCTTCCACTTCTGCAATGAATGTGGGATCCACAATCTTGAAGTCAATAAGCTTCCAATGAAGCCATGCTCGTTGAATCTCCAACCTGCTGCTTTCTCCAAAGCTTCAGGCGCTTGCACTTCCAAGCAGCTTGCAGCCTTGGACTGTCAAAGATCGATTTTGCATGTTGAGTGGTACCTTCAAGTCACCATTCTCCCATGTTTGCCCTCAGCCATTGATTCCCCAACCGTGCTCCACCAGTCTTCCATAGCAAAGTATGAGCTGATTTACCGTTGAACTCATGATCACATTCTCTTTGAGAAGAACTTCATGTCCGTTGATGTCACGCAAGGAGCTTACGATTCCCCTGTCCATTTTGTAGCTTAGTCATTGAATTGATTCCAACTGTCCTTCCCCTGACCTGCCACATTCAGAAGGAATAAAGCTACATCAGCTCCACTGTCGATAATGATGGCCACATCATCTCTCTCCTCTCCAAGTCTTCTTACCCTTTGGAAGCTGAAGCAGCCGCAAGGGAAGGAGCAGACATCCAAGCTTTGAACCACATGCACCATCGACACAACCCTGTAACCAGACTTGGTCTACATGGCCTTTGAACAGGACAGGCTACAAGGGAATGAAGGAGTGCGTGGACGGGGCTGGGGAGGGAAGATGGAGTGGAGCGAGACTGGAGGCGCATGGTTGGACTCTCACATTCAACCTCAACCTCTTCGCAATCTCCTTTCCCTGGCTCATCATCATCATCATCATCATCATGTCCAATGTAGAAGGGAAATACTCGAATTCCATGATCTTCTGCTTCATCATCCCTTGCTCAGGTCAAAAATGATTGGCTCACTGTTCTCAACCCTTCTGACAACTGGTATGGTCTCCGCTGAACTACTCTGCCGGCTCACATTGGCTTGTTGTTGGCCAACTGTCAGAGTAGTCACTGAAGCTCCTCCTGAAGACGAATGGGCTGGAGCACTTGCAATCTGTCGAATATTGTTTCTCCAACAGTCTTGAGCAAGATGTCCTGGCCTCCCACAAGTGTAACATGTTGCCACACCTTCCTTTCCTTATCCTTTCTTTCCTTTGCCTTTGGCATACTTGCTGGTAGTCATTCTTACCTTTCTTGCCCTGTCCTTTGGCATCTTGAACTCGATCAATGTCCATGGGCCTGGGTCCTTGATAGTCTGTACTGCTACTTGCCACCATTGAAGTAGCCCACTTCTGCTGAGAACGATCCCATTGCAACACTTGTTCCCTCAAAGTTGAGTACTGAACATTGTCGCCAATTGTCAAATTCAAGCGTGATCTGAGCTGTCCACCTACACATCTCAAAAGAATACCAGATTTCAACTCTTCTTGAATTGACCCCTTCTACTGCAATGAATTCACCATAAATTCACGTCCCTGATTTGCCCGTCTCTTGGATATACCTCTTCAAGCTTAAGAGTTGAGATTGTGGGGCACTGCTCATCGAGAATGCTTAGCCTTCGAAGTAGGTTTCCATGCTTTGCTCAAGCTCCTCCACGCATCAAATCCATTGGGGTCCTCCACGGCTTTAACCAGTCGTGGTGCTCTGCCCCTCATCAACGAAGCTAGCAATCCATAGAGGTTGATGCACCTGGTTTTCTCTTCTGTAGTTGCCAAGTCCATGTCAAAGCTCTCGTTTGGCTTGTCGTGAGTCTCTTTCAAGTGCTTCATGTAAGCCTCAGCCACTGAACTTAGCTGCTTCCCAAAAACCCATGACCACTCTCTGAACGCTTTCATCTCTCCTTCTTGTGACTTATGTTCAAATATGTTGAGCTTTGTGACCAGCTTCGACCAATCAGTTGCTGTTGTCTTCTTATCTTCAACTGCCTTCTTTACTGCCTCTTCTGCTGATGCTGTTGCTCGCGTTGTCTTTGCTACTACTTCAACGGTTTCTCTTATCTCATCCATAGTTACCGCGCAATAATGTCCTTATGGCACAATGTACGGGGTACAGAGTGCAGCTCACAACCGTTTGTCACCAGTCCAGCTATTTGGGCTCCAAAGACCCCAAATCTATGGGGCAAATATGCTGTACAATCATACCTGTGATCTGTGCCTGAAAGCTCTTCACAGAAACAAGTTTGAAACAAGGGTGTCATTCGTCGTCGCAAAAAAGTCTGGAGTCCAGACCTGGACATTTGTCAATGACTCAACACAATCAAGTTCAACGGGAACTCTGGAACAATCAAAAACGATATAGCCAGCCCACGCCATGTTGCGCCACCTTCGACAGGGTGGGAGTGTGGATCGGGCCACCAAAGGTCTCAGGCGCACCGTAGCCCACATCGTCATTCATGATGAGCAAAATGTTGGGAGCATCTTCCTTCAGCGGTTTCCTCTTCGGAGGCCAACTATTCACCGAATCAGCCAGAGTCGGTCCAACCACCGCCTTCGAAGGCATCGGAGGAAATGGAAGGTCTGGCGGCGTCAGCTCGCCATTGGCCACTGAGGGATCCTCCCCCTGTGCCAAAATTGGCCCCAGCAGCAGACAGGAGAACATCCACATGATGAACCTCCAGGCTAAGGCACGCCCTTAGGCTATGCTGGGAACCTAAAATGTTTGCTGCAGGTAGCTGATGTCAATTCTGTTCAAGCGATTAACCTTCGGAGCCATTGTGGCCTCTGCTGGGTTCGCTTCTGGAAACACCAAATGATCAAATGTGAAAATGAGGTTCCCAAGATCCATCAACAGGCCTTCAATGAACGCACCAGGTCACCAGCCGTATTTTGATGTTCAAAGAGTAAGACTCAGGTGTGACTGTATGAGTACAGTACCCGTTCGTCGGACATAGGAAGAAGAAGTAGTTAGAACGGTTGATGAACGCTAACGGCGAACAAATCTTTCTCTAGACTTCTCTGGAGTTCTCAGCTCCTTTGACTGAATCATCTCTCAAGTTCGAGAATCCAGAGCCTAAACGTTCACCCTCACGCAAACAAGAAGTCCCGACGTTCTTTCCGCATCATGAGTCAGAGTTCAGTGCCAGCAAGCGTTGGACAACGGGTGATCCAAGCTGCAAATTGTCGCATTCGGTGTCAGTGTGTCTGTCTAAATATGTCGTGGGTCTAAGGGATCGCACTGGAAAGGGACGAAGGACAACTTCGGACCCTCACCTGGAACTTCGGCTTGGCTCAACTCTGTTGTTGCCACATTAGGCAACCAAACCCATCGCTCGCTGGAAATGGATGGGCAGATCCAGCCACAAGAAAAGACCAGAAAAGAAACAACGGAATGTCAGAATGCCCTATCAGCAAATGCGATGCAGGCACCTCCTGGCCAAAAACAACTCACACTGGATCTGGCATGTGGCACATGCGGAACTGGCTGCTTCTCATTAGCTTGCAAGGTCCGAGGCACCTCAGGTGCATGGGGTCTTCCTTCACAAGACTCAACAAGAATCCAATCTCAAGAATAAGCAGCCCGTGGGAAAGATGCACTTGCGATCTGCGGGGATCACATGTGTCCATCTGTTGGGTTGTTTGAATCAGCATTCGAGATTAGATTGTTCTGTTCACGCACCAAGACTCCTACCTCACCAAACCACAATGTTAGGAGGACTCACGCACTCGAAGATCAACCTACGGAACAGCCAAACCTAACGTCAGAACTACCCCTCAAGTGAAGGGTGAAGGTTCTTTCCAGGACACCCAGAAAGACTTTTAGGTATCCAATGGAAGATTTCAGTGTTCGACTTGTTAGTGGAAACTAACTAGTGGGAAGGCCAAAATGCCAGAAGTTCAGGGTACTCCATAGTCAGTCTCGTCCCTCCTAGTGCAGAATTGTGGCAGCAAAAGAAAAGGCCACGCCAGGTTTTGAGTTCAAGTTGAATCATCATCCCCTGCCATCCACAACAAAGGTTTTTTGTGATCTGGCCACAACGATTCCCGAACTAATAAATCAAACACGCAAACCTTTCTTCCGCACAAACATTTCACAAAATCCATACAGTCGGCGTACGCACCACATTTGCACCTCTATTGCCGGCAAGGCACTCTGCGGTGACCAGTACATTTGTTCTATTTTGTCGGATCCATCATGCGACGAAACCTCGGCAAAGTCTCCGTCATCACAAGGCAGGTTCATTTTCTCGTCGATCGCTTCAACATTAGATCAAGTTCCCGCCACATGCAAACGAAAGAAACTAGGATTGACCAAGCTAAACGGATCAATCATGATCAATCAGTGATTACAAAAAGACTGTATGAATGAGCCACCGCGATCCTTTTCAAACTTGAGGCGCAAACGGTCGGTTTCTGGTTTATTGGTGTGAGCACCCTGGGGCCCAGGCCAGGCTTGATCTGGGCACCCAATGAATGCCGAGCAACCATCTGGCCAGTGGCGAAACGAAGGAGCAGGGTGGCGCACACGGCTGGATGAACTGGAGTTTTTCCTCTCGACTAACCAAAGGTACCCACTGGTGAGCTTGGAACATGACGCCACTTGACAACCTTTAACAAACATTTTTGTTTGCAAACCTGGCCTACGACTGGCGGCGCGACGCCTTCCTCCGTCAGTACGATGAAGACAGGTGCAAAGTTGCAGGTGCTTTGCACTAATACGATCTAACCTGTTTGTGTGGGAAGTTTCTCTACTTCCAACAAGCATAGAGTACGCAAATAAGGAAAAACCATTAACCTGCTTATGAGGCAGCCCAACAATTGAGAGTGAGTCTCTTTATTCAGCAATGGCGAAGCCGGAAGTCAACCAACAAGTGTTGCGCTTTCGCCAAACAACCCTGCTTTGAAAAACGTCAGCCTTTTCGATGTTCCATGTGAGCGTCACAACACAACAGCGCGTCGGCGTCCAAGAACAAGGGAACCTCCTCCGGAACCCACTTTGGAGCCTGCCAGCATGTTAGCACGACAGTCGGACCCGACGTCATTATCTCAGAGCGAGAACACGTGAAGGCTGGCATGTCATCACGCTAGCATGTTGCCATGCCATGACCGCATGGTGCGCGCTATCACGTTGACACTCTGATGCCTTGTTTTTGTCACTCTGCCATTCTGACAATGTTGGCATGATGGCATTCTGACGTGCCGTGCTTGCTGACACGCTGTAACATGTTGCCACGCTGACATGCTGGGGTGTTGTCACCAGATACGCTGACATGGTGTCATGCTGGCGTGTTGTCAGCGCATGCTGTCATGCGGCTTCGTAGACATGCTGCTGTCATGCTGGTGGTTCGCTGGCTGGTGTCAGGCCGACATGTTGCTTGGCTGTCGGACCTGCTCTAACTTGCAGATGCTCCGGAACCTTTTTCGCACTTGCGGAACCTGCTCGGAAACTTGCTCACTGTAAGGAACCTGCTGCGGAGCCTTCTCTCAAACTTGCTCCAAAGCCTCCTCCTCCAGAACTTGCTCGGGCCTGCTTCTGAGCCTGCTCGGAATATGCTCCGGAATTCGCTCGAGAACCTCCTGCAAGGCCCAAACCTGGTGGAGAATCGCAGGCGCCAGGCAAGCTCACTTGGAAAGTCATGATGTTTGGGCCAGCACCTGCAGTATATATATATATATATCAACCACCCCTGCCCACCAAACCTACCCATCAAGTATAAACCTTACGCGAAACCTCCTCTGCAACTTGCTCCAAGATTTCGCTCCAGAACCTGCTCCACAACCTGCTCCTACCCCAGAACCTGCTGTGGAACTTCCTCCGGCGCCTGCGTCGGAACCTGCTCCAAACCTGCCCCCATCTGCTCCGAAGTCTTGACCATGGCCCATGGCCATGGCTGAAGACCCCTAAGCTTCGCCATTGGCAGTTGGAGGAAAACCCTACAGGTTTTGGTGGCGATGGAATCTCTGACCGTTTTAGGGATGCCCCCACAACATGCGAGGCTCCAACCCCTGCGTGGACACCGGCCACCATCGGCTTCACGATGCTTGGCGTCGCCTGAAGCGCTCCAGGACAAAGGAGGAAACACTACCGACACTCCGCCACTGAAAATGTTTTGTAGGGATGTGGAGGGTTCGCACTAGACTGCATGTGGCACATCTGGATGCTTTTGAATCAAAAAGCATGCTAAGCTGCTAAGTTTTGCAACTCCATCTGAAGCACAGATGCAACTGCTACATTGTCCATCATGGCAACACTGTTTGCTCACAGTACCTGCTCCAAAGGCCGTGACACGGTATTGAGTATGCGATAAATGTATAGTAAGGGGTTTCATTCTAGACCTTACTCACTTCAGTACCCCCTAAGGAGTCACCCCTCTTCAATCAAACTTGTCAGGGTATGTCAGGGTATGTAAGTTTCTTCAAGCCAGGTTCCAGGCGGGTCTTACCTTGAAATGGTCTGGTACGGTATCGTGATGTGGGTCATTCCCTTTGCAGGGTTTCTCATGCGAGAGCACTGAGGCTTGCACTGCCCTGGGGCCACTGGGCGCACGCAGTCCTGGTCAAGTCATCCAGTGGAGTAGAGCTAAGACCCGATTGATCTTGCACGCGGTGAGCCACGGGGGCGGCGGCGGCGGATACTGTAGCCGCCCATGTTTCTCCGAATGACTCATTGAAGCAGTAGGTTGATGGTCGCATGGATAAGCGCTTGAATTCTAGAGCTAATTCATGCGCCAAGCCTGACTTGGCAGGAATTTTGCGCGTGTTAAATACAGGCTCCAGTCATGGGGTGATTCATGATAACACCAATCGCATGGCTCTGCTGCCGACGATGCGACATTCCTGTTTCTGACCCATCAGCTTGCGACAGGAGGGTGTAAGGCTCAAGGTCAGGGTCTAGGTCTATTCTAAAGCCATGTTGAGTGAAACGGGGTGGGACGCTGTTCATGCACTTGGCCATATTGTTGGGAATGTTCTACAGCATGGCTCGTTTTGAAGTTGCAGATATAACGAACGAACCCAGTCCTTGCGTGATCACAGGCGCAGGCGATCTGCCCCGGGTGGCCCTTAGACCGTCCCACGGATTTGAAAGGAAAAAGGACCGCATCACCAGGCCACAAGTTCCATTTCTCCAGGCTGCAAGCTAGTAGGTTGGAGGCCATCGCTATTAGGTTGAAACCCATCGTTAGTAGTAGATTCCTTTTGCCATAATGTATTGTGAATGAGCCCACTCACTCATGCAGACATCATGGTGAGCCGCTCCTCAAGCCCTTTGGATCGCTTGGATCGCTGGTTCCAAGTTCAGTGCAGCTCTCTGGAGCTGCGAAAGTCAGCCCTCCACCTAGGAGCCATTTGCCCCCATTGGTCATATTTCTGGGGCGACTGCAATGGGGCCTGGCCAATCTGGACCTGGCACATACCTGGCGAGTCTCATTACATCTGATTCACCAAACGTCAAGGGGCTTGGGCAACACAACCACAACTCGATCAAATACGTAAAGGTGCAAAGGACATTGTTTTACTACCCTCGAAAAAGTCACTCGGATCACGAGCCCATGCCTAGAAGCTGCTGAGAACACTGGACTTTCTCAAAAATGGCCACTATCAGCTTACTACCAGATCAAATCAAATCATGCAAAATCTATGAGAGCTGCAAGGTAGCTAGAGATTCCTCAGAGCCTCTTGCACACACCTTGTGAGATTTCTGTGGTCATACACGCGATCGTCCCTTCCTTGGAAGGTCATCCCCTTCCTCGTGATAGAGGCCTCTTTTTGGTTCCATCCAAAGTTTCCAAAAGAAGACCTTGAAAGTCCAAGCTACCGAAAGTCCAAAGTCCATGACCCCTCCGCTAGTTTTCGGCTATGAAAACTGGTCCCCACAAATGATCCGATTTTCATCTTCCTTCGACTCACCAACTCTCCAACCATCTTCCCTCACCATTTTGCTGATTCGCCTGGGCTGGTTGGTGAAGCCTTCCTAGTTGGATAGCCGCCCACAGTGCCTGGCTCGCCGTTCTCTTTGATCCCTGGCTGACCACCCCACCAAAACGCCTTTTCAGGATGTTTCAGGGCCATAGCTGCTGGGTCCCAACAGTAGTAGTAGTAGTAGTAGTAGGTACCAAAAAACCTAGTGAAGAATGAAACTGGGCGACCTTTTCCTCGCTCCATTTTGCAGGATCTTTGGACTTGCAAGGACTGGTTCTTGCAACATGTCTTCTAACCATTGCTTTGGACGTTACAACAGCCAGTCATGTCTCAGTTTTCCTGCGAGCTTTGAACACACGAGAAAGTATTCCCTCAAGTTGTCAAAGTAAAAGAACACAAAAGAAATCTACAAGGATGAGGAGAAGGTCATGTGGTTTCTTCTTTCAGATTAGAAGCACGTGAAGCACGTCACGTCTTATCAATTTATCTGAGCTGGAATTGTGCAAATCCACTGTCCAGTGCAAGACTACTCCGTCAGTTTCTAATCCACCATTCCCGAAAGAATCCCCAATACAGCCAATACAGTAAAGTTACAACATAGTTTTGCTGTGAAGCGATTCACCATCGGGGAAGTCATAGAAACCACACACAACATTTGAAAGAGGGTTTCCATCAACACATGTGTACATATATATATATACATATAATTCTATGCAAATGTTTGAAGGAGATTCATCTATTCTCGGCCAACACTTCTGGTCTCGTGTACAGTACAAGCTGTGCATCTTCGAGACGTCTCAAAAAACACAAACAATCCAAATCCGCTTCTGGCTGGGGAGGGAGAGGGCCATCAAAAGATGCCCACTCCGCCCCGCCTCTGGTGACAGGTGCTCTGGCCATCTGAGCCTCAGGTCCCATGCCCCCAAGCTACAAAGAACATCGCAGGTCTCCCTGAACTCTCGACGCCTGACGCCGTCCTCCCCCACCAGAATGGCTCCGCTGGGCAGCAAACAATGTGGTTTGCTGGCGAAACTGCCCGCGCTGCAGGGTCAGAGACCAGCACCTGCCGTGGCGCGAGTATGGCCTCGGAATTCCGGTGATCACTGGAAGAACACCGTGAAGTGCGACCCCTGAAATCGCTGGAAGTAGCCTATGGTCTTTTGAGCTCCGTCAAAAGCTCTGGAACTTTACCCAAACAGAGATTTACAAAACACTGTTCTTGTGAGGCCAAAAAATGATCTGTCCTCCCGGCATGACTCCACGACCCGGCACGCCTGTCGCGCATAGGGATGTGGCCCGCCAGAGAACTCGGAGCGCTGTCACCAGGCATTCACCAGCACGTGGCGCTTACACCGAGCTTGGTCTTATACCCCAAACCATGAATTGCACCGGTGATACTCATGCACACTCCAAGCAAAGCCACATCACAGGTACTGGGTAAGCAATCATGATTGAAACTGATAGCGCAACTCACATCCTCGTTCATCGTGAATGCCACAAAACACACATCCTCTTTCCTCGGAAGCGCACACACACAACAAACCCATCGAGATGGGTGTATCTGACCTGTGTCTATATGTGGGGGACGCCTGGATTTCGAAGAGATGAGAACCCAGAGCGTATTCGCAGTCCGACACTCCCCGACCTGTGCGTGCACTGGCTGAGCTGGAACCTGGCAGAAGCCCCGCCCACAGCGAAGAAAACCAAATCACTCGGAAAACCAAAGCTCTCGATGAAAATCAAAAAAACAAAGAGATTTGCCTTGTCTGTGTTCTCGGAAATTCCAAGGTGGTTGGTTTCTTGTCGTGTTCTTTGGTTCTTGCCTTCCATGTCGATCCCACTGACACCAGAATCAACACCAACGCACAGTCCTCATTAGTAAGCTCCCATGGGAACTCCAAAAGTAGCCGTCTTCTTTGTGTATGAGGGTGCTCAAAGCGACACATTCTGACACATCCAAAGCTTGATACATCCAAAAACGTTGCAATAAATGCGAGGGGATCAGCGAGGCCAAACTTACTGGATGTCCTGATTTCTGCATATTTCCGCACACCTGGCGCAGCATCGGCTGCATGGGCTGTGAGGAGGCCCGCACATTCGCCTGCGACCGGTCCAGGTCCAAAACCGTCCAAACCCTGCCACCGGACCCGTTCTGAACACCAATCATGAATCCGCCGACCCCCTGTGGCTCTCAGCACGGGGAGCGCGTAAGAGGAAGTATGCTGACCACTTCCCAGAGCAATTTCTTCCTTTCAGGCTGGGTTCGCCCTCCAATGACCCGCCCGGTCCTCGCAGAGTAACGCTTCCCAGAGCAACTTCTTCCTTTCAGGCTGTGTTCGCCCTCCAATGACCCGCCCGGT